CCCCCCAGCCCCGATCAGTAACTCAAGCTGTAAATAATAAAGCACAGGTCATAAATATTTAAATAGCGATCTGTATTGCACATTAGTCTAAGAAATACTAAAACACATTATTTTTAAATTATGATACAATTTATTTTTAAAAATTATTAAATTAGTATACCTTTTAGTTGGTTCCATCTGCAAATTCTTACCTTGAATCCATCCTTCTTTTTTTCCAAACCTGACCATTCTCCAGGCTGAAAAATTGTTTTAAGAAAAATATAAGTGACTTGGTAAAGTAGTTATAATGTCCCAATCTTGGATTCTAAAGGTAAAAGCTTCCAGAAGACATTCAGTTTAAATTACATAATAGTGGAGGAAAATTATCTGACTCTAATTCTCAGACAGAACTATTGTTCTGACAAAACCAGATCAAACATAAAACCAACCCTTTTAATATCTTCTATGCACTTGATGATGTAGCTCCTCTTGATCGCTTCTTTCACTGCGTATGCGTCACTAAGGATTGTCAGGTGTTCATCCAAAGCTTGCTGAATGAGGCTGCTGGGCAGTGTTGGAAGATGAGCCAGTTCCCAGAGTACATCTAACACCTACAATAATACTCATATGATAAGCCAGCCAATACACAAGGAAACTGCTTTAGGTATTTGTAGATAGAAAAATCCATTGGATTTCCCTGCCTTTCCAGAAGTGGTCTCAAAGCGAGCTTCCCGGCCTATCCGTCCAATCAGGCTCAATAGCTTCTGTCTTACTCGATCGCTCTCAATCTCCCAGCTCTGTAAAACAGAAAGACAAGAATTAGTACACTACACAGTGTCATCAAACTGGCAAAATATGCAAAACTTTAAACTTGAACTAAAAATGTTTAATAAAGTAAAAAGAGTACATTTAAACACTACTAATTTGGGGGAGGGGCAAACCTCAAAATAAGCTTATTTTAGAAAAACGTGAAAGGATATTTGATTGGCACATACCTTCTGAATGAGAACAAACAAATGATTGAGCTGATCTGAATTAAACTTGACAGCTGCTGCAGCAATAATAGTATGAATATTCTCGATCACAGTAGATGATTGTCCTGACTAGAAAGGAGACATTGGGAGAAAGTTAAGTCTTGGAACTTGGAAAAACCCAAGTCTTCTCCCTGGTAATTTATAGAAGCAAAAGAGTCTAATCAGCATTCACTTCCATGATAATACTGGCAAGACTATGAAGCAAACATTATTAATGGTTACCAGTTGGCCTTGTTTAAATTTCTAGCAGCATTAAATCTTCAATTACTTTACAAGACAATCATACTCACTTTTCTTAAATGAGCTTGATTGCCTCAGTTGAAGAGTTTTATCTGCCACATTTTTAATTTTGCTCATAGATATTTTATGACTTCAATGAATATTTATTTATTCCATGAGCAGTCAGTCTCTGCTTCAGGGATGTAGACCCCATGGTTGACCTTATGTTGAAATTCACTTTATAGCCTCAATCACAACTCTGTCATGCCTCACTGTTCACTATGTGAGAGCTTTGAAAGGTAGGAGGACTTTTAAATATTCAATTATACAACAACTAGAGGCCCGATGCACAAAATTCGTGCAAGAGTAGGTCTTCCTTCCCCCCGCTGCCGGCACCGGCTTCCCTCCGGCTGCAGGCAGGCACCCGGGACCCGGACTTCCCTCAGTCCTGGCTTCATCTGGAAGGTCATCCAGAAGGATGTCAGATCTAATTAGCTATTACACTTTTATTATTATAGAAGATTTGCTCAGTATCTACTAAACACACACACTTCCTGAATGTAGCAGGGATAAATAAAATATATATCATGGTCTCTAATCCTCAATCTGTGTGAATTCAAAACTTACAAAAAAAAATTATGACCGTATTCAAGTAAGGTCAAGACATGGGAAATAAAATTCAGGTTTTTTTTTTTTTTCAGTCTTACACTTAAACTTTCTATAGTCTGTTATGTAATGCCAGGCTGGGAGCCTGAAAATTACATTTCCCCTGCCAGCTGTGCTCCCATTATGTTCTAGCAATGCGAGGTACTCCTGGGAGATGAGCAGGCAGGAGGAAGAAAAAAGTGTATCTGGTCTGTGCTTGGGGACTGGACGCAGGGGCTGACATTTGTGTCAGCAGGGATTCTGGAGCCCTGGTGGCGGTATCGCCTCTGACAGTTTAGCAGGTGCAGTGAAATAACCTCCCAAAACAGCTTCCCTTCCTTGGACTTAATATCCCTTTTCATGTTTTGTTGTTCCAACATTTATACTTCCCCTTTTTGTTCTTCTGTCCTAGCAACATCTTTGCAAACAATGCCCTATATTCAATTCCCTCTGAGATACCTAGCACGGTTTCTGTTTCCTGACTGGATTCTGACTGATACAGTAGAGACAGCCAAGGTGAGCTCCAGGTTTCATTCTGGCTTAGCAACTAGATGAAGAATACTATCATTACTGAAGTAGACTGGAAAATTACTAGGCTTGGCCATGTTGAATTTGAGATGCCTATGAGATAACACAGGTAAACGTATAACAGTTAGGTATTTAGGTATACTGCCCAGGAGCTCTAGGAAGAGGTGTGAATTAGAGATATACTAGTAATTCTGAGAGTCAGCAGCATCCAAATGTAGTGGAAGTCATGGGGGGTGCGGGGTAGATGAAATTGACCAGTGCAGGATTATATAATGAAAAAGGGCTAAAGACTAAGACTTGAAAAAACCTCATATTCACAAGGTAGAAGACATAAGTTAGTAAATGAGACTTAAGAAGGAATGCCAGAAAAGTAGGGGAATGGACTATTAACAAAGTGAAGGAAAAAGGAATGAAGGGTATAACTGATTCTGTCACAGATGCTGAGAGTTTTGGTAAGATGAGATCTATAAACTCAATATGACTACCATCCTCATTTAATAGAATTAAATGGGAAAACTGTATTAATGAAAACTGAAAAGAAATATAGTAAAAAGAACACTGGAATGATAAACAAGACATACCTATTCCTAGCTCTGCCACTAACTGCTACACAGCCTGCAGTAGGCTTTTCATTTTTCAATCTGAGAAATGAGAAGACTAGACTAGATCAGTAAGTAGCTTTATACCTTTTGAGTAGAAGAATCCTTTTTACATATACAATCTTAATAGCAACTCTATTTTTAAAAAAATTATAGTTTTATTGACTTCAGAGAGGAAGGGAGAAGGAGTGAGGGCTAGAAACATCAATGATGAGAGAGAATTATTGATCAGCTGCCTCCTACACACCCCTATGGGGGATTGAGCCCATAACCCCAGGCATGTACTCTACAGGGTTCAATTCTAGAACTGAACTGTGACCTCCTGGTTCATAGGTCGATGCTCAACCACTGAGCACACTGGCCAGCCTTAATTGCAACTCTAAACTGTACAGATTTCAGTAGAGCTGCTCTGGTTAAAGCAAGATTGAAGTTCCATTTTCCTGCTTACTCTCCATTCTCTTCCTTTTCTTTATTATAAAAATGTCAGGTGAAAGCAAAAATAACTCTAATTAACTTACCTGTATCTTCCAAATTTTAGTGAGTTCATCTAAAGATAATTTACTGCCCAAGAGTTCAATAATTCCCTTTATACGATCACAGTACTGCGCTTGGTCTATGTTGCCTAAGAGAAGAAACAGCAGAGGGGCAGGCAGGTACAGTGAACACTGACTTTGTAAATATGATTCTAGTAATTCAAAGCAATATTAACTTTCTATAAGATTATTCAAAGGCTATTCAAAGCAACAATTTCATAGCTTTTTTTATACAAAAATGTTACGTATAATTATGTATGAGGTAATATTATTTTAAAAGCAACTTACCTTCCAGTGCAATTGACAGAACTGAGTTTTCAACTAGCCAATCTAACAATCTGTCTGTATCTATAGCATTCTTCACAGATTTGGATAAAGTGCTATCTTCTATTAGTTTGGTTACCTAAAAACAAATAAACAAAACATACCAGGATTATTGTGACGGAAAGTAATGCAAATATGTATAATCAAAATCTTCACATATATACATATCCTGTGACTTTTATAGTATTACAATATGGTCTGACAAGTAGCTAAAATATATCAAAGGCCAGTTATTAGACATTAACAGATTACTTGTGATATCTTTTTTTAAAAGTATGGAACCATTCTTATGGCTCAGACTTCCTGGGCCACTGCTGACTGGCTCAGGGATAAGCATCTGACCCAAATTTCAATCAAGGCATGTCCTCCAAATTCTATACTTGGGACCGAAGAGGAAGTAATAGTCCCTCCAGGGTGATGGGAGCAATGTGGGGCCATGATGTCTACCATATGAAGGATGTTACTCTGCCGGAAGAGGAACAAAAAAGCCAACAAGCTCAGAAAAGCAGAGTTAAGACTTCAAAAGAGTCTTGGATGCGGTCAGGTCTTGAATTCTAATTGTTCTTGTTGCCCATATGTCTTCCTGCCCCTTACATGGTTTGGCTAGTCAATCATCATTCATATGAAACAGCCCAGCCTTCTTCCACTAAATTTCTCTATGGCCTAAGACAGCGGTCACCAACCTTTCAGACCTCACGGACCACCAGCAGTCTGCAGACGACCGGTTGGCGACCGCTGGCCTAGGATGATTTAAGATGAGCTTATTTCACTTGCAGCTAAGAATCTTAGTTAATACAAAACTGAAGGAAAAAGATTGGAATTATAACTCAACTCTATTGGTTCCATCTGTCACTCACCAAAATCAACTACGTAAACACATATTTGAAATATAATAAAAGGAATTGTACCCTTAGGCTAAAAAATAAATCTCAAACTGTGTATGTCAAGAAATTATGTTCTAGGAAATATCACGAAAGCATCAAATATTTCAAACATTTCAGAGGACAAATTTTTAATATAATCTAAAAAAGTCACGTTATTAACATAATTAGAGGCCTGTGCCCTCTCGCAATCTGGGACTCCTCGGGGGATGTCAGACTGTTGGTTTCAGCCCGATCCCGAGGGACCCCACCAGTGCATGAATCTGTGCACTGGCCTAGTTTCAACCTGATCCCTGCAGGCCACGCCAAGGGACCCTACCAGTGCATGGATGCACCGGGCCTCTAGTATGCATGTAAGATCTTTGGTTAATCTCTTCTCACCCTCCCACTTCCCTCTGAGATTCATCAGTCTGTTCCATGTTTCCATGCCTGTGCATTAAGCGTCTGCCCCCTGGTGGTCAGTGCACCTCATAGCTACTGGTCAAATGGTCAAACAGTCCGCTGGTCGCTTAGGCTTTTATACACATAGATTATAAACATACACACCATTTCACATATAATCACATCCCTTTTTTGTATGATTACAAGAAATTGTTCATTTCCCAACATTTTTATATAATAACTGTAAGTTTTGGCAGAACTTAAAGTGTCTGTGCTTTAAGTCTTCTAGAAACAAAGGAAAAACTTACTTCTTTGAGGGAATTCATTTTAGCGCTAAAATGGGGTGATTTCAGCATGCGCAGTAGGATGTCTAATCGAAGGTCGTCCACTACGGTCACCAGGTCTGGTTGGAAGCGCATGCAAAGTAACTTGATGGCAGACAAGAGCTCAGGGATACTAACCAATCTCTTTTATGAAAAACACATACACACACACAAAAACAAAAAAGGAAACATAAAAACATTTTTATCCCAATTCTTACACACACAGGAAATACAGGACATTTTCAATAACAATGGTCTGTGCTATCTGATACTCCACATGGTCAATCAGCTGCATTTTGCTTCTCAACATGGGTGAGCAATAGAAAGGAAAGGATCCTGTGAGAAATTCAAGGCAGACAAATAAATCATGTTGTTGCATGTTTAACTGCTTTAAACAAATTTGGATAAACTTTTAGTACTGAATTATTTTAAAGCTTCTTCATTGCTATACAAATTACATTAAAATCAACATGTTAGTAAAATTCTGAATGATGTCACTGAGAACCCTATATTTATTCTATTGACTGAGATAGCACCAACCATTTATGCTTCAGAAGCAGCATTTTTCAATTAGAAAATGTATAATTAATTTGATATGAGTTGTACAGGACCAGAATCCAAAAAACAATGGAGTGTGAACTGAGCCCCAAGTCCTGGCTCTGCTTCCATGGACCAATAGGCACTGGGGCCTGTCTGCTGGAGACAGCACTTACCTTGTCTTTGAGGTCCTTTTCCTCCACACTCCGCACATCCTGGATTGTAGTAAGGATGACCGGGTCTAGCATAGGCTACAGAAAAAAAGTACTACCTTAATAAAAAGTCCTGAATCTGTCCTAAAATTAGAGAGGAGATACTTCTTCATTCACTTTCCACAAAGGAGACAGTGCAATTCTAGTAGCAGAGCTAACACTACCTTGCTAACACCATTCCAAGAAAACCTTTAACTGCGTTTATGCCTCAGCTTCTTTAATATCAGAGGGGGGGAATCCCTGTAATTACGATCTTAACAGTAACTTTAAAGAGCAACCAAAGACATATGGACTTTTAAAAATTAAGCACGAATATGCATTAATTTTGTAATAAAGTAAATATTTTGCATTTGATTTTAAAAAATGAATATAAGCACAGACCACAAAAAATATGCTATTATATGCACTACTTTTGCTTGCTGATATAAATGAGGCCCATAGATGAGACTCACACAACACATTACTCCAGGACGGTAGCATAATCAGACAACTAACTGTAAACAGTATGTGAGAAGTAGTCAAATACTCGCTAAATCTAAATGATCACTTCCATCTAAGTAAAATAATTTTTAAAACTTATCTGGTGATGAAAGAAGATGAACAATATTTGGCTGTGAAAGCTAAGAAGACATTAGCAATGAGTTAAAATGACATCAGGCAATTAACCAAATAAAATTTCTTAATGCTGATTGTACAGTGAGGACTGAGGGCTGTTAGGGTAAAGGCAAGGCACACTGTTCTTGTCAGCATGTGCCAGCCCTGCTTCTCACTGCAACTCTGTGAGATAAGCATGATTATCATCAGCATTTTACAGATAAGGAAGTCAAGGCACAGAAGTTACATCAAAATCGCACAAGTAACAAATGGTAGAAACAACTATTAATTTATGGCAAGTAACATGGTATGACTATGGCATGAATTTAAGGTTGGGTAGTTTAATATAATAAAATAAAGATGAAATTAAATATGCTTTGGTTGGAAAGTCATCTACTTTTTTACTCTTTTTCAAGTAATCCTATACTTGTATATAAAACCTGAAATTTCTAAAGAACTTAGTATTAACTAGCAGCTGGAATATTTATGCTGAATCTCTTTCCACGGAGCATTGCATGCATTTAAAAATCCAATCCTGGCCTTGTTACTAAAAAGCCAATTATTAAATTATTAATTCTTGTTAAATTATTAAATATTCAAATCACTTTGCCTCTTTGTGTCTTAGTGTTTCAGTTACAAAACTAATGGTTACAGTTACATGCTTAGTAAGTTGAAAGAATACTAGATGTTTATCAAGAGCTTAATATCCAGAATGAAAAAATCCTGTCACTCTATTTCATTTGAAAATCTTGCAGTATTACTTTGACATTTAAAGAAGGCATTAACACTGGAAATAGCAGAAATTTCCAGAACCTACTAAAAAAATTGTATCTCCCTTGTTAAAATGGCCCTAAGTAAATCATGTTTTAGAAAGAAGGAATTGTGGATAGAAAACATTGCCCCCAAAGGACACTGCGCTTTTAAATTTACAGTGATTTTAAAAAATCTCTAACAGTTACCAGTTTCACACACTTATTTATAAATAAAATAATAAATGGAGGTATTTCAGTGTGATATTTTATTCAGTAAAGCTTGTTAACTGAAATGGAAAGGAAATGAGAGTATAATAGGCCTTACGCACTACAAAACTGAACACTCACAGCTTTGAGTATTCTATGATCTGTTGACTTACAACATGCAGAGACAGGAAATCAGACAAGATGTGCTAACAAGCTGTTATTCGGTAGTGAGAGATTCAGCTAGTAAGTTAGTCTAGTGGGTTGTTCAACATTGATCTAATTTAATACATAATGGTACTGAACCTTAAAAATCCTGTTAAGGGAGTGGGATTTATACAGCCTTTTTACAGACAAGAAAATGAAAAAAAAATATATGCTGTTATATATAAACTAGAGGCTTGGTGCACAAAATTTGTGCACATAGAGGGGGCCGGTCCCTCAGGCCGAACTGCACCTTCTCGCACCTCCATGGAGCAGGCCTAAGCCATCAGTCGGACATCCTTAGTGCTGCCGTGGAGGCGGGAGAGGCTCCCATCACCGCTGCTGCGCTAGTCAGCCATGAGCCCAGCTTCTGGCTGAGCAGCGCTCCCCCTGCGGGAGCATACTGACCTCCAGGGGACAGCTCCTGCATTGAGCATCTGCCCCATGGTGGTCAGTGCGTGTCGTAGCAACCGGTCGTTCTGCTGTTCTGTCGATTTGCCTATTAGCCTTTTGTTATATAGAATAATGTCTTATTATGGGCAAGGCCTCTAATTCAATTTTTTTTAGGTAGTTAAAGGGAGGGGAAGAATTTTCACTTGAGCCTGAAGCTAAAATTGCCCTTAGCTCAAAAATCTGCATACCACTGAGACACATCTTGGTGAGGCTCATTCTGAACCCATACACTGTTCTATTATGTGTATAAGTATTGGGAGCCATCTTATCTCTTTATCAATGACTAACTTTATCTCATGAGTTGTGTTTTGACTTCAAGCCTGCAAGTATTCATGCAGCAACTTCAGCGCTTCTGTTCAATATTTACATGGCATATCTTTTATTTTATTTTCTCTAAATCTTTCTAGATTTTTATGTATTAGATAGGAATAGCCCATGGACAGAGACAGTAGTCTGGCTAAGGCCTGGAAGGGGTGGGTGCAGGGTGGAGGAGATCAATGGGGAGAAAAAAACAACTAAAACAAAGGGACATCTGTAATACTTTCAACAATAAAGATACATTTTAAATAAAGAAAAATATCTTAGTTGAAAAGAGTTTTATGTGAAATAATATAAGTAATTGCTCTACACTGTACTTTATATTCTCAACTCCTCTCAAAGAGATATTAATT